CAGCCTGTAATCCCAGCGCTTTGAGAGGCTGAGGTGAGTGGATTGCCTGAGCCCGCGGGTACGAGACCCGCCTGGGCAACTTGGCGATAAATAAATCAAAAAAAAATTAGCCAGGCGTGGTAGCGTGCGCCTGTAGTTCCAGCTACTTGGAAGGCTGAGGTGGGAGGATAGCCAGAGCACAGCAGGCTGAGGCTGCAGTGGATGGGAGGCTGCAGTGACTGGGAGCGGCCACTGCACTCCAGTCCAGTGACAGAGTGAGACTCCAACTCAAAAAAAGAAAGAAAGAAAGAAACTGATGCTAGATAAATGATGTCTTAATATATATCTTACAAATTAAGTAAAGCAGACCATCTCTGTCACTGGAGTTAGGAAATACAGAGGAAGAACAAAGAAAACAAGAAAATAAACTTTTAAAAATTTAATGCACTGGCAGTTAATGAGTCCAGATGTATTTAAATAACATCTAGCAGGAAAAAATTGCCTATCAATTTAGCAGAAATGCTGCCTTTATAGGGCTACATATCTGAGAGACTTACATGCTCTAATTTCTTACATTTGCTTAGCTTTACATACATACATTCCACAGAATAATTTAATCCATTGGTTTGGTAAATCGTAAAGCATTGAGGGATATTCTCTCTTAGCCATGTGATAGATGCATTATGTTTGTCTTAAAGGTCAAATACATACTCTAAAAATAAGATGATATTATGTAATTATAAAATGCAATTCAAATTTGAAGCAGAATTATAGTCTTTGTGTTATGAGGAGTGGAGCAATCTCTGCCCATGAAAAGACATGAAATGCTTGAATCACCATAAATTTCTACAAAGTGGGCAAACATCTCAAACTATCATCACGTTGATGAAAATGCCAACCACAGATTAGAGATGGGGGTAATAGCTCCCTCTTTCTACTTTCTGACTCTGCCAGACACTGCTAGGGTTCCCCAAGGCTGGCTTTCCTGTGATCATTTAGTCCTTCTGTGACAAAATATCTAAAACTTCACTAGATCTACATGGAAGTTACACCCATCATCATTCTAGAGGCAACATGCAAGAGACTTAATTGGCAATTTGTGACTGGAATAATGCAAATCTTTCTAAGTTCATGCTAAATCTTTTGACATAACTTCCTCAAGCTAAAGTCCATCAAGAACTTCAAGCAAGAAAGATCATACTTAAAACTTGCATTCTAAACCTGGCTCGGTGGCTTAGTCTGTAATCCCGCACTTTGAGAGGCTGAGGTGAGTGAATTGCCTGAGCCCGCGGGTTCGAGACCCACCTGGGCAACTTGGCGAGATCTCAACTCTACAATAAATCAAAAAATTAGCTGGGCGTGGTAGCACGCGCCTGTAGTTCCAGCTACTTGGAAGGCTGAGGAGAAAGGATTGCCGGAGCTCAGCAGGTCGAGGCTGCAGTGGCCAGGAGCGGCCACTGCACTCCGTCTGGGCGACAGAGTGAGACTCCAACTCAAAAAAAAAAATGCATTCTATGTATAATAGACACTGGGGACTCAGAAGGGGGAGGATGGGAAGGGGAAGAGGAATGAAAAATGAATTTTCACATACAATGTGCACTAGTAGGGGTGATGGGTACTGTTAAAGCCCAGATTTCATCACCACTACACAAGGCAACTAGGGAACCAAAAATTACTTGTACCCCCAAAGCCACTGAAATGCATACATAAACACTCTAAAGTTTCCCTAATACAGATAGAAAGATTAAATAAACATAATAAACAACAATAACTTCATTTCTTCTGGTAGTCAGCTACTAATTTCTTGAAGAAAATCTGTAGTTACAACCCATAGAAATGGAATTTTAGAAAACTATTCAGTCATCTGGAGCATTGGGAGTTAAATCTTTTTTATACAAAAAACAAAACATAACAAAAAACAAAGGGAATAACCCAGAGAGGTCCTTTCTCCTTCTCAGTATAATTACAAAAATCATTGCAGATTCCCATGGAAAATAAAATTCTGCTTTAAAATACAATCCACTGATTTGTTTATTTAGGGAGGTAAATTATCCTTCCTTGCATTGTCCATACCTTATCCTATAGTTTAAAACTTAAATTACAGTTGTAGAGTATTTATTATGAGTCATAATAATTTATTATGAAATTATTTACCATTTTTTATGTTGCATTTTTGTCCCTAAACCCTAATCACAACGATACACATAAACTGAAATAACTGACTCTCTGTTCCATTCTTCACTTACATTTTGCTTGTCCACTAGAAGTACTAACATGTAATGGAACAAAATTATATGTTTTCTCTGAAAAGCTTCATTTTTTTTTAAATGTCTACAAGCTACTAAAAACAAATTTAATAAATCTCACTCTGTGTTTCTAAAAAACACGATCTTTAAGGAGAAATTTAAAATCTCAGAACCAAATGTTAGAAGAAACTGAGATTCTTTTTTCCCTTAAAGATTAAAGAAAAAGCTTTGGCTTAGAGAATATATATTATTCACTTCCATTTCAGGATGGTGTTTACCAAAATATCATAAATACTTAATAGCAACTCTTCCTAGTGCTTCTAGCAAAGGCAGTAAAATGAGACATAAACCTCAGCTGTGAAAGCCCAGGAGTTTTGCTTTGCATTTCATCACCCCTTCTTCCCCACCCTGTTTAAGGTAGTCCAGATCCTAATAATCACCGGAGACAGCTCCACTGAATCCCAAACATAAAGATTATGTCTTCTAGTAAGACTATTAATCATGCAAATAGAGAGAACAACAACTGCAGGCAAATAGCCCTGGTCCAAGGAGGCTGACTGATAGCCAAGAAATGCTATATTTGGAAAAGGAAGTAATCACACATTCCAATCCAAATTTTTATTTTATATTTCTTCTATGAAGCCTATAAAACTTTCAAGATATCAAGACGGTTAACTCTGTACTCAAAGGGTGGAAGTATCTGAGACCATTTATGAAAATCTTAAACTTGAAATCACAAACCCAGGCTCACAGAGCCCAGTGTGCAAAAAATTAATACCAAATATCCCAAGTGTCATTTACAAGTCCAAATCTTTAGAATTACATTGTGTTTGCAGTGCCAAATAAACCTCTTACTTTCTTCTAAATAACGCAACTAGATATTAAGATTACTTCTTATAGCCTTTTCTGCCCCCAGAGAAATACTCACAGAATTAATTATTCCTTTAAGAGCTTGAAATCCACCTTTGACAGGGAAAACTTGTTCCTTTGAATCAGCAATCCTTTCGAGCTTTAGAAAAAAGAAGAAAACTTAATTAAGGGGTGGTTGACATATATAATACTTTATAAACTTCATTGCATTTCAGTTATGTTCATCTTAAAAATTACTTCACAGGATTAGTCTACAGGATTAATTTACTAGTGTAACCTACATTCATGGTCAGGAATTGAAGGTGGTGATACTAGCGTTATTACTCTAACTGTATCAGAACGAAATAAGGGGAGATCAGTCATAGCGTCTTTACATCGGCTCAAGTTGCAATTTCAAAACAGTACAGCGATCTAAAGCTGTTAGCAGCATGAGGCACAGGCATCTAAGCTATGCTCATGCAAAAATGTAAATGTAAAGTGATTTTGCGAGTAAAAAAAGTTAATATGTATACCCCCAAAACTTTATTAAAAATATTAGTTTTGTAAGAAAAATTATTAAAGATTTCCCCTAAATCAACTTTCCAAATTCTTGCACATCAAATAGTCAAAGTTTAAATAAAATGCAAATTCTAAATAAGACTGTCATAATAATCTCATCTGTTGAGTTAAAGGAGTTTTCATTTCATTTTAATCCGAATGTTTCTTATATTAGTTCAACAAATAAACTTTACGAAAGGTAGAGCCCTTCAGTAACAAAAGCTATGAGAATTCTGACGTTAGTAAGGTAGAGCTCAAGACACACAGGCATTTTTATAGAAAATATTTATATTTTTATAGAGAATCTTTAACGATTGATTAGTGACATAATAAGTCATCAGTGAAGATAATTTGTTACATTATCCTTAAGACAATTACGTGATTTACATTAAAATTGGCAGATCTCTTGCAACTCACCTGAGCTTGTTCGAAATCAAGGACACCAACACAATACACACTCGCCCCAAGTGACCTGGATAGCTTTGCCTATGGAGAAGCAGGGAGGCAGAGAGGAAGGGAAGCGAGTTATTCAAATGTCAAGCTACACACGCAGAGACACACAGCAAAGGACAGTGGGGTGGAAAGAACAGTCTCAGTCCAATACTCACCTCTTTCTCTGCATATGATGGCACCAGACCGTCCAGCTTACCATCTGTCAGAGCAATTATGATACTGGAGGTTTTTAAGCCTCCTGCTTTCTGAATTTGTTCATTCGCCTGAAAATGAAGAATAATTATTCAACTCACAATTTAATTTTAACTTTTAACCAGCATGTTTCATCAAGCTGAATTTGTAAGTCTGACAAAATCAAAATATTACTGACTAGCTCTTAGAACACAGTATTTTGTGTTAACTATTTTATCTGAAATATGCATATATTCACATTATAGAGTAGTTCCCAGTGGGTTTAAATGATACAAATTTTTAGCTGTGGTTGCCTAATCTGAATATAAACACAAAGAAAGTAGACAATTCCTTAAAAAGCAAAATGTCATCTCAGCTGTTCTTATCACCACAATAAATAATTTTTCTACCAATCTCATCTCTGGAACAACTAAAAGCATTACAAAAAATCTGTAACATAAATATGCAACAGGACTTTTGAGCTTTGCTAGAAAGTTGTATTTTATTACAGAAAAAGAAAGAATTCTCTCCTATACTTACAAATGTAGAAAAACTTACTAGCTTTAGTCCTTCATGGATATATGTCTCTCCTACAGGACTAACATGTTTTAAGTCCTCCAAGCCTTTGGTGATTTTGCTTCTGAAAATAAAGCATTATAATATTAAACAGAAGGAAAATGAGCAAAGATCACAAGAAACACTCCTTAAACAAACATGTCAATATTGTAAGCTATGATTTCTTCAGTAATGGGCTTGGAGGCAAAGAGCCTATTTTTTATCATTTTAATAAATATTTAATAACTTTCTTATTTCAAGTACAAAATATAGATGTACTAGCAATGTCTTGAAAAATCTAAGCATATTCTAGACCTTTTGATATCTTCAATCTTATTTGTTTCACTAAATGTTAAGGAGAAAAAGTACTTTCCCTCATCCTCAAAAACACAGGATTGATTGAGTAGCTCAGCTTCAATGAAAAAGTATTTCTGAAGTAATTACCCCACCTCCTTAAAAGCAGGATATTTTCTTTTTTATCTGCAACCTAAAGCACATGATGTAATCCTTACTTATGGAAATTAACATTGTTTTCTCTTATCTCCTAAAGTCCTAAGTCTTGTGTTTTATTCACCTTTGTAGTTCCTTCTCACCCATCCAGACACCATCACATTCTCCTAAATATAGCAGATACTTAATGCATATTTCATGAGTGAATGAAAGAATAAATGGATGGATGGATAGATAGATGGATGGATGAGTAGATAAGGAATTACTGGAAGAGACAATATGAATGAAAAAGATAAAAAAAGGAATAATGTTTTTCCATCATGACTAATTTATTCTCTCAATGATATATCTCTAAATAGGGTGTGACTTACCCCATTTAAAATATTATTAGCCAGGCTCGGTAGCTCAGCCTGTGATCCCGCGCCTTTGGGAGGCTGAGGTGAGTGGACTGCCTGAGCCCGCGGGTTCGAGACCTGCCTGGGCAACTTGGTGAGATCATCTCTACAATAAATCAAAAAATTAGCCAGGCGTGGTAGCGCGTGCCTGTAGTTCCAGCTACTTGAAAGGCTAAGGCGGAAGGATCGCTGGAGCACAGCAGGTCGAGGCTGTGGTGGCCGGGAGCGGCCACTGCGCTCCAGTCTGGGCGACAGAGTGAGACCCCAACTCAAAAAATAAAATAAAATAAAATATTATTAAAAGCTATTTTGTGTGTATGAGAAAGGGAAGACCTAATTTTCAGGGTTTTTAAAATATATGGATTCAAGATATCTTGGAAAATAAATAAAGCCACAATAATCTTAAGAGATAAATAATGTATAACTATTCAAATTAAATTCAAAACCTTTTTTAAGTTTTAATTTTAAAAGTTCAGAAAAGGTCTTTGTAAGATACTATTTTCAGAATTTTAGTTTTTCAATAAAAGCAAAGAAAAAGGCCTAATTTTGAAATGTAAAATTATTGAAATGGTACATTGAATTATCATGCTTGAAACAACATGTGAATAGTAATTACACTACTGAGAATGACCTGAAGGAGATTAATTATAAAAAGATTATCTTAACATCAAGGAACTTCCTGGGGTCATACAACATTTATATGTTCATGTATATACATGTCAACGAATACATCATATGCTAGAATAACACGTGTCAAAAAGAAAAAAACTGTCATGCTGTGATATTGTTTCAAATACAATAATAAACGAGTCATTCAGTAGAGCCTCATATATATTTTTAAAGCAACTTCTTGATTATATTTTATATTGTGATAAAAATTATCACACAAGTTTTCCATCTCTAGAGGTTCCCAGAAAATAAAAGACAACTTTCATGGAAGGAGCCTAACCTTCCTCTTTCCCTGTTTTCTATGACCATCTTTACGAACTCATGCAAGTATTCTTTTTTCAGTATTCTCTTTTAATACTTGGTTTAAAATCCACCTGTTCTGAACCTGTTCTCAACACACTTTCTTTTCTAAGGTACTCGAATCTTTCTATTCATACTCATCCAAGTTGTACCACAATAAAAAAGTGTCTCCTAAGAACATTCTACTTTACAATAATTTAACTAACATAATGCAATATCTCCACTTCTCAATTAGTCTAGCTTACAGTGGGCTGCACCATGCCTTTTGTTTATAAAGTATCCACTGCTCTGCACTTATTATCTATTTTGGTGTCTTTTGCAAAGAAAGCATTCAATAATTTTTTTCTATGGTATAGAAAAAAATTATTATTCCACAGATGATGGAGTAAATTACATAATTCATAAGCTTGTTTTATCTAAATATTTATGCTTGATATCTACAGAAACAACTTGAAACTGACTCTGAATGAATGCAGATAAAAACCAAATATTTGGTGCTTCTCAGAAATGAGTGGCAGTGTGTCCTCAAGTACTAATGTTTGCTGCCAAGAGGGAAATGAAAAAGACAACTGAAATACAAGTTTACACAAACAGATTTTTGCATAGTAAAAATAGCCTTCTCCATTTCCTTCAGATCAGTTCACCACCGCTCCTGAGGACCACACGACACCAGCAAAACACTAAGCTGGAAGAATTTGCCAAACATGTACTCACAGTGTTTGGAAAGGTATGTCTCTGCTGGATTATTCCAAGGGCAGAGACAAAAGGACTCTGTGACTTTTCTATACATATCTGCCTCTATATTTTCCAAGCTGCACCGAATCCCATTATTACATTTGCAGCTGTATAACCACAAGACGAAAGTGCTCCTTGCCTGTAGCCAATAACATCAACACACAAGAGTTCTAATCTTGTACCCTGTCCAGGGTAACTACCAGAAAATGTCTGTCAGTCTCTTCTTAATCAACATGGTGCTCTTTAGGGAAAAGAAAGTCAGAACAAGACAGGGTTTTTGAAGGATCCCAAGCAACTAAAAATAGGCATTAGGTTTTGTGATTAGTAAACAGTTAACTGGGGTCATGCAAAATGATGCAATGGGTTAAAAACAGAACTCTTTAATCCACACTAATGTTAAAGAAAACTCAAAGGAAAGCAAGGAGGGAAATTACTAAAATTAAAGAAGAAGGAGACAGAAGGGAGGAGGAGGAATGGTTATATTATAAAGATAAGCTCAAATCTGACAACATCTTAGATCTGCTTCAATGAGTTTGGCTTTAACGTTATGTCTTCAACTACATCGAAAAGTAATATTGAAACTACTTCAGTATTTGTTGTGAAGCTGTTGTCAAGGGTGCTGCTGTCATGACACGTATTGTCCTCTGTAAGGTTTCACAGCAGAAGTTTTTTTGTCCCCTGAGTAGTTGCTATGCACATCTTCCTTTCTGCTGTTTACAACTATGTAAGTTTGTTTCTTCCCCTGACTACAGGGAAGCCCACAGCAAGCTTCTTACTCCTTCACAAAACTCCAAATTCCTTTTGGCCATTCTATTGCTGCTTCTCCTCTTCCAAGTTCTTAACTCTTCTTTTTATATTTTATTAATTTTCTGCAATGCTATCATGCTCTATGCAGCCTCGAATATATTTTGGAAAGAGGCAGGACTTAAATAGACAAAACAGCACATTAAAATTGTTTGTTTTGCTTTTTAATTGAGAATCAGGGGCCCAAACTATAATCAACTGCAGAGAGAAAGAGAAAAGGCAAGCACACACTGTCTCATTTTGAATCTATGAAATTAGCACTTTCATCTCTGTTAGTATCTCTCAAATTTCTTACAAAGAAGGGAAGGAGGGAGGGGTGGAGGGATGAGGGGAGGGAGGAGAGGAGAGTAACCACAACTGGCATGCTCTGTGCCATGCCAATGACTTTTCTCCATCCACAAAGCACTTTGGATTGTGGAAGGTGTGCATGACATCATAACTAAAATAAACCAGGATGGGTTGAAATAGAGGCATAATAAAATGACTCGCAAAGAATTCTGACTAGCTCAACTCACAATTAAGGAATTAAGATACAATTTTATTTTGAATACCTTCTACGTTCTCTTTATATAATGTATCTATATAGCAATTGGAACTTTAAAATGCACATCACCTTAAGTTTCCAGATTTCAGAGCTCTATCCAGATTTCAGACAATGAGTCTACACCCATCTGTTGAGTGCCTACCACATGTGAACACTGAGTCCACACAGAGATATGTGTGCCCCTCACACTCGATCCCGAGACTTCTCATGCACACATCTCTACAGATGCATGATATTTCTCTACCCTTGCTGTATAGTGCAATCTCCTGAGAGGCTTTTAAAAAGCCATTCTGGCCGGGTTCGGTGGCTCAGCCTGTAATCCCGCGCCTTTGGAAGGCTGAGGTGAGTGGATTGCCTGAGCCCGCAGGTTCGAGACCCGCCTGGGCAGCGAGACCTCATCTCTACAATAAATCAAAAATCAGCCGGGTGTGGTAGCACGCGCCTGTAATTCCGGCTACTCAGAAGCCTGAGGCGGAAGGATCGCCGGAGCCCAGAAGGTCGAGGCTGCGGTGGCCGGGAGCAGCCACTGCACTCCAGTCTGGGCGACAGAGTGAGACTCCAACTCAAAAAAAAAAAAAGCCATTCTGGGCTCTATTTGAAGAGATTCTAATTTACTTCATTTGTGATGGGGCTAGGGTTATCATGGTTCTTTGAAATCTACCCAGAGCATTCTAATATGTGGCCAGGTTTAAGAACCTCTGATCCAACCTAATTTTGAAACTTTCCCATGTTGTGGAAATGGTCTTCTCCCTATTTTGGCAGTCACTCTCTCTGTATAAGGGTTTTAAGTAACTAAGATCATCTCTTAAGCTGTTGTTAATACAGTTTGGGGGATGGTATGGATCAAGGTGAACAAGGCGTATAGGTCAGTTTCAAGCCCAACCCTGTTTCTTCATCTATAAAATAGGGATAAATATATCTTCTCCATGGGACCTTTGTGAGGTTTTATTACAGCACATTGTCATAATTGTTGTATTTCATTGTTGTTCATTGCTTCCTGTGCCTAACTTATAAATTAAACTTGATCATGGGTATGTATGCATAGGAAAAACACAGTATATGTGGGGTTCAGTACTATCCTCGGTTCCAGGCATCCACCAGGGTCTTGGATTGGATCTCCCTCAGATAAGGGGGGGACTCCTGAATCCCAAAATTAGTGGTAAGTACAATTGGTTGTTTCTCATGATG